CATTTATCATTTACAAACCTTAATGAAAAAGTTATTGATTCAACAATTTTACAGGTAGGCTACAAGACAATGAAACATGCGACAACCTAAAATCATTAAAAGGTTGCAGTAATTTCAGTTGTAAAGAGCAGCTTTAGTATGTAAAGGTATTAGTTTTACAAATTGGCCACAAGGTGGTGCTATAACAAAAAAACATGCAACCAAAGACTATTGAAGGATTTTGAAGTAACTCAGCAAACGTTTGATCTAGTTATTTCATCAAATGCTTAATTATCTTGAATTCTCTATTCAACATGCAACCCCCTAGTTTTTAATTATTATTACATAGTGTTTTAATTATTTTTACTTTACTGTGAAATGTGACAGGCCACATGCTATTCTTGCTTGGCAGATGCGTCACATAAGATGGAGGAGGAGGAGGAGGGAGAAGAAGGGCAAGGAGACAAGCAGTCTCAGATACACAATTCTTTGTTTTACAAATACCGTATGTATAATGGAAAAAAATTATGATTAATTAAGAACAGCTATTGTCTTAATGGATAAGATATTTCAGAGTCTGCTCAGCTGTGCCTCCTGTCGGCGGAGATAAATGTGTTAAAGCCTGGTTAAAGCAAATATTTGTTACCAAAACCTCAATTTTCCACTTCTTGCCAGGGGTGTAAAATACTTGAGTAATTTTACTTGATTACTGTACTTAAGTTTTATTTTGGGGGATTTGTACTTTTTTTCAAGTACAATTTAAACTGACTACTTGTACTTTTACTTTGATTACATTTCTGAAGAAAAAACAGTAGGCCTACTTTTTACTCCTTACAATTTTATTTCATCTTGAAAAGTACACTACAATTTTATTTTATCTTATGCACATTAAATATGGTAAACGGAAGCTCAAATGTTCGTGCTAGCACACACATTTTTCTACTTCAGTTATGACTTTCATCAGGTAAATGTCTGGCTTCAAAAGTTCACCATCAAATCTGAGAAAGCATATTGAGGTAGCAAAGTTGCATTTTTCCCCCAAAAAATTCATTCATTATTCTTTCTGTTTTAATAGAGCCATTAGCTGTGTAACATATTGGCTAAATGCACACGATCAGTGATGAGAATTTAAATACAATTAATATTTTTGTGGGAATTATTGCTTTTTTTTCAAGTAAATGTTACAAATCTCCAAAAAAAGTGTTTAAATTAACATTGTATGTTAAATTAATTGTAATTTATGTTTAGTAATGTTCTTACCGGGTAGTGGTTGTATTTATAATACATCATTATGACACACTGAGTAGGAATTAGGACTGTCAATTAATATTTTTTTAATCGTAATAATTACATGATTTGCTCATTAATTAATCTAATTAGTTGCAAATAATTATTTATCAATGTTTGCTGAGAAAAAACTCTAAATGCCCCAAATAAACAATTTAAAGATTAATTATCCTTGCAGTGACGTTGAATAGACAACACAAAAAAGTGGTCTTTCAAAACGTTAATGTTGTATGTTTTAATTCTATGACTCCCCTGATTAATTCAACACATTCTTGTATTCTGTCTGGAATATGTTTCTACAGCCTCTGCATCACATCTTGCTCTTCAAAGGGATAATTCAAAGGGGTGGAGAGGAGGGGGACGACGAGGCATAGTTTCAAGAAATGCGTTTAAGCAATCGAGAAAAACTGTAATTCCTTACCCTGTATTTTTGTGTGTGTGTGTGTGTGTTCCGCTGTGCTGCATTTTAATTGTTGTTGTTGTTGTTGCACTATATATGTGTGTTTGACCTGTGCCATTGCATTTTGTTTAGTTTTCCCCCTTTAACCAAACTTCTGTATGTCTGTCAGAAAAAAGTAGGCCTACTTCTACTTTTTTTAATACAATTTAAAATTTTTACTTTTACTCAAGTATGTTTTTGGCCAGATACTTTCACTTGAGTAAAATTTTCACTGAGTATCTGTACTTTCACTTGAGCATTGCTGCTTTGAACCATTATGTAATTGTGGCATCCGTAATTGCGATTAGAAATTCGATTAATTGTGCAGCCCTATTTTCCAGTCTTGTTCATGTAAGTCATTTATCTAATGCATTACTCAAGAAAAAAAAAAAGGGCTTGTCTCACTCTCATCCTTTGTCCTGGTTAATGACTCAAACAATGTTTAGCACTGGAAAACTGGAATGGCAAGATGGGAGTGTTAAAAAAAATACAACCACAAGACGTAAATGTCAAAGGTTTTAATGAGGAAAGGTCAACAATTATTCAGCATTACTATCCAGAAACTGGTTTGCTTTCAAAATGCATACATTTCTGCCAGAAAGATTTCCATGTGAGTTGTTTCAAAATCCTTTTTAGGAGCTTGCATCATATTTGTCACAAGTTATGCAGATTTTCTTATAATTTACTACTCTAAACATTTACTGTTGTTAGAAAATGTTTGTGAACCATTTTAATTTGAGTGGAATAGCGGATGTCTGCAAGCATCATGACTAAATTTTCGTTGAGCAAGTCTGAATAATAAATTAGTTTTTTTCCCCAGCACTTAACATAAAGCTTTGAGCCACGGACACATGACCATGAACGGTAAGATAACATAATGGAAGTGGGATGCAATTCCATGTGGCAGGTCTTGAGAATCAAATTAGCAACGATTGAGAGCCTAGATTCAACATGAAACCACAAGGATTTTTTTCTTTTTTTTACTTTAAATACCTTTTAAACGCAAGGGGGAAAAAAAAACAATGAAACATACAACGTTTCACAATGAACACTGTAGCCAAAACTTGTCACCAAACAACGCCCTTGCCATTCATCAGTAAGCTTCATAACTTCAACAGCAAGCAATGTGCCATGAATGCTCTTAATTCAGTGATTCCCCTGTGTGAGTGGTCAGGAGTATTTGGGGGAAATTTTAACTACATATTACATTTTAGTTTTACTTAAACACCACTTTCTCCTCCCAAAGTAAAATGTCTGCAAGTGTGTTTCGAGGACCTCAGGCATGTTGATGCACGGCAGGGTCTTCTCTGCTGGCAATGAAAGGCACTGTTGTTTCTGCACCTCATGTCTGTCAGTTTTGAACAGACAACTTTTTTTTCTTTGCACTAATTTGCATTTTCTGTCTCATTGTTTAGATAGGATATATAATGATGTCTGATCATGCCTGTATGATTGTGGAGGTACAACATTTAATAGACTTCACCCTTAATGCTGAAAATTTAAAGAAGTTTTATATGACAGTAGAAGAAGATTTCTCTCAACAGCCCCATTATGTAGAGGACAGCCGATCTAATGGTAAGGGTTGTGCCTGGATGATGGGCCTTTGTGATGAGAGAGTTTCATTCCATTCAAACTCATGGCCATATTTTTTTTTTTTTCAAAATAGCTGGTGAAAGATTTGAATAGCTCATATGAAGAGCCTTTTCATATGAAAATGGCAGTTTTGGATTGGTTCAATGGGAAGATTAAACATGTACTAATACATGTTTACTAAGCTACACCTGCTGTCTTCACTCCTGAGGTACAATACCGTTTAAAGGTCTGGGGTTGTTTTTTGAAAAAAGACTCTCATGGTCACCAAGGCTGCATTTATATGAGCAAAAATGAATTAAAACAGCAACATAGTGGAAAAAATGTTAGAATTTAAATAACCATTGTTTTCTGAAATGTAATATATTCCTGTTATGGCAAAGCTGAATGCTGGTGTACAACAATAAATAATTACTTGTTTTTAAATAATAATATTATATAGTTTGAAGATGCAATACTTGCAACCAGTCTGGGGTTGTTTTTTGAAAAAAGACTCTCATGGTCACCAAGGCTGCATTTATTTGAGCAAAAATGAATTAAAACAGCAACATAGTGGAAAAAATGTTAGAATTTAAATAACCATTGTTTTCTGAAATGTAATATATTCCTGTTATGGCAAAGCTGAATGCTGGTGTACAACAATAAATAATTACTTGTTTTTAAATAATAATATTATATAGTTTGAAGATGCAATACTTGCAACCACTATTGCTAACCCAGAAATTGAGAAACTCTTGACCTTTAAAAAAAAATATCCGAAAAAGTGACATGGATTAATATGATGGATTAATAATACATTGTAATATAATAAAATAAGTTGTTTATTATCCAGTTATCCATAAATTACATATTTGGTGTAATTGCTGACACTCAGTTAATGCTTTATTTTCATATATCTGGTTGTTTGCAGAGTGAAGCGCTGATGTGAAATACAATTGCACGCATTGTTCATGATGTTATTATACTGTAGATAACGGCTGCAAATAGTCAATATTGTTACAATTAATTATTTAAAACACCTTCCGGTTATTGGTGGGTCTTTTTATACCTTTTTCCATTGGAATGCCTCACATGTATGCTGCGGTCTAAAATAGGTCCATCCCACTTCTGGGTGTCTGTATTTATTAATTAAATGAGAATAAATCAGTCAGTTGTTCCAGTCATTTCATTATGCATGCCTACTCCCGGTCATATCCCAATGATGAGGCGTGATGGTGGGATTTCCATTGACATCTTGAATCGAACAATGCATTCCAAGTCATCAGGACTTTCTGCAGCATGTCAGGGCATCTGTGTATAATTTAAGACTCAAAAGAGGCTGGCTTATGCTAAGTAACAAAATACAGGCAGGGGGAAATCAACAAAAGAGTGGCTCAAAGACAACAAAATGTGGAGTTTCTGACTTTTAGAAAGAGCCAAACAAGCAAAGCATCCAAAAATACACACAAACCAAATAATAACTCCATAATCTTTTCACAAATGTAGCAGACTTGCATGTGTACCAGCTGTGTAATTTAAACAAACTAGACAAAATGCCAAGTCTAGATCCAGTATGTTATGACTTCAGATGTATTTTTACAGCATTGCCTAATATGTCTCATCAGAGTAAACTAAGATTATATTTTTCTCCCTTTGCATATTAAATTATTTTATACCAGGCTACCCATCTCCACACCAGCCTCCTTATCCCATGCCCCCCTATCCCATGGGAGGTTATGGAGAACCTGGACAAGGGACCCCACCAGCAGGGTTCCAAGCAGGATACCAGCCAGTTCCAGATCAGCCAATCATGTATCAGCCTGGTCCAGTTAGTCCAGCATCTCACCAGGGCCAACCATATGGAGGTATACATGTCTAAATTTACACTTAATTACAAAAATTGCTGGTAGGTAAATGGTAAACAATAGGTATTGAGCAATAGGTCTTGAGAAAAGTGACCACACAGGCCAAAGATGCATGACATTCATTCAAATGATCATTAATACAATAAAAACAATGCAACAGCAACCCCTAGCGTGTGGTTGAAGCTGTTTACTCCGTAATTTGTGTGCTTGTCTGATTCGTTTTATGTGTTATCTTTATTTTAAGCCTGAGACAATTATTCAGTATTACTTTTTTGCTACTTTGTTTAAACTAGTGACTCAAAGATAGCTACAATTTTTCAACTTCGCTATATACATTTTGGTCTTCTACAGCAATCATTGGCTTTGAGACCAACAACCAGTATGAGATCAAGAACAGCCTCGGTCAAAAGATCTACTCTGCCAAAGAAAAAAATGACTGCTGCACACGCAACTGCTGTGGTGCCCTGCGCAGCTTTGACATGAAGATCAAAGACAACACCGATCGAGAGGTCATACGACTCATCCGACCTTACCGTTGTGTCTCCTGTTGGTGCCCCTGCTGCCTGCAAGAGGTAAAACAGACAAGTCATATCAAAGCTCTGCATTTAATTGTTAGTTTCATTAAGTCTCAAAAATCTGAAATCATGCTATGGGACCTGATGTTGTGTTGTTGAGATTCAGCTAGTGACTTATTTGTAGGACATGCTGTGTGACCTACTACTGACATGAACGTGTGTGACTTATGAGTTATAAATGGCATGGAGTCAGTATGGACATAGGACTCCATGCCACTCTATGTCTTTGCAGAGAGTCTTCAATCAGCAATCGCGCAGTTTATTTAGTTTAAGATCAGTATGATTTTTGTTGCTGTTTTTGAAAAAATATTTTTTTTTACAGCAAGGATTAACAGCAGCAATAAACTGATCAAAAGAACAGTAAAAACATTCATAATGTAACGAAAGATTTCTATTTTAAATAAATGCAGTAAAACTTAACTTAAAGCCTTTGTTAACGCATCATAAAGGGATATTAAAGGGTATAATGCATTATAATTATTCATAATGTGCGTTTGTAATACATCATATCTTGTTGTAAATAATTATAACTGAATTTAAGATGCATAGTGTAACAATGAATTGATACGTTTTATAATGTATTAACTGTGGTTACAATTATTGATGAGATTGTACAATGCATTATAAGGTGAATTACAAGTCATAATTAATGCATTAAAACTACTTTTTTTTTTTTTTAAATGCAATCTACATAAAGGCTTTAAAGTGTTACCATAAATGCTGTTCTTTTAAACTTTCCATGCATAAAAAAAACATTAAGCAGCACAACTGTTTACACAACATTAATAATAAGAAGAAATGTTTCTTGAGCACCAAATCATATATTGGAATGATTTCTGAAGGATTGTGTGACATTGAAAACTGGAGTAATGGCTGCTGGAAATTCAGCTTTGCCAACACAAGAATAAATTATATTTTAATTTATTCCATTGAACAGTAATTTATTCCTCTTGAACATTAGTGTATGTATGCACCCATAGCTGCTAGCATAGAAATCAATTTGGGCATTGCTGTACATTTCTAATTTGTTATGACTATAAATGGCAATATTTCACCTTCAGATGGAGGTACAGGCGCCCCCAGGAACGACTGTAGGATACGTGAAGCAGGACTGGCACCCCTGTTATCCAAAATTCTCCATCCAGGGGCCAAACAAGGAGACTGTGATGAAGCTTGAGGGGCCCTGCTTGGCATGTAACTGCTGTGGTGATGTGAACTTTGAGGTAACTTTTTAGAATTGGATTGTTGTTGGCATGTTGTTGCCTTGTTAATATACAAATTCGAAGATAAATTGGCAGGTTTGTGTTTCTAACCATAAATTTGCATTTCTCTCTTTAGCTCAAAGGCAAAGACGGTACTGGGAAGCCTATCGGTCGAATCAGTAAGCAGTGGAGCGGCCTGTTGAAGGAAGTCTTTACTGACACTGACAACTTTGGCATCCAGTTCCCTATGGACATGGATGTTAAGATGAAGGCTGTACTTATGGGCGTTTGCTTCCTTATTGTGAGTATTAAGCTAATGACATATTTAATGATCCGCAGTAGTCTGAATGCTTCATAATGCCTTGGAGGGCATTGCAGTACCACAGATCTCTAACCATTATGTTGTGTTGTTGAGATTCAGCTAGTGACTTATTTGTAGGACATGCTGTGTGACCTACTACTGACATGAACGTGTGTGACTTATGAGTTATAAATGGCATGGAGTCAGTATGGACATAGGACTCCATGCCACTCTATGTCTTTGCAGAGAGTCTTCAATCAGCAATCGCGCAGTTTATTTAGTTTAAGATCAGTATGATTTTTGTTGCTGTTTTTGAAAAAATATTTTTTTTTACAGCAAGGATTAACAGCAGCAATAAACTGATCAAAAGAACAGTAAAAACATTCATAATGTAACGAAAGATTTCTATTTTAAATAAATGCAGTAAAACTTAACTTAAAGCCTTTGTTAACGCATCATAAAGGGATATTAAAGGGTATAATGCATTATAATTATTCATAATGTGCGTTTGTAATACATCATATCTTGTTGTAAATAATTATAACTGAATTTAAGATGCATAGTGTAACAATGAATTGATACGTTTTATAATGTATTAACTGTGGTTACAATTATTGATGAGATTGTACAATGCATTATAAGGTGAATTACAAGTCATAATTAATGCATTAAAACTACTTTTTTTTTTTTTTAAATGCAATCTACATAAAGGCTTTAAAGTGTTACCATAAATGCTGTTCTTTTAAACTTTCCATGCATAAAAAAAACATTAAGCAGCACAACTGTTTACACAACATTAATAATAAGAAGAAATGTTTCTTGAGCACCAAATCATATATTGGAATGATTTCTGAAGGATTGTGTGACATTGAAAACTGGAGTAATGGCTGCTGGAAATTCAGCTTTGCCAACACAAGAATAAATTATATTTTAATTTATTCCATTGAACAGTAATTTATTCCTCTTGAACATTAGTGTATGTATGCACCCATAGCTGCTAGCATAGAAATCAATTTGGGCATTGCTGTACATTTCTAATTTGTTATGACTATAAATGGCAATATTTCACCTTCAGATGGAGGTACAGGCGCCCCCAGGAACGACTGTAGGATACGTGAAGCAGGACTGGCACCCCTGTTATCCAAAATTCTCCATCCAGGGGCCAAACAAGGAGACTGTGATGAAGCTTGAGGGGCCCTGCTTGGCATGTAACTGCTGTGGTGATGTGAACTTTGAGGTAACTTTTTAGAATTGGATTGTTGTTGGCATGTTGTTGCCTTGTTAATATACAAATTCGAAGATAAATTGGCAGGTTTGTGTTTCTAACCATAAATTTGCATTTCTCTCTTTAGCTCAAAGGCAAAGACGGTACTGGGAAGCCTATCGGTCGAATCAGTAAGCAGTGGAGCGGCCTGTTGAAGGAAGTCTTTACTGACACTGACAACTTTGGCATCCAGTTCCCTATGGACATGGATGTTAAGATGAAGGCTGTACTTATGGGCGTTTGCTTCCTTATTGTGAGTATTAAGCTAATGACATATTTAATGATCCGCAGTAGTCTGAATGCTTCATAATGCCTTGGAGGGCATTGCAGTACCACAGATCTCTAACCATTATGTAACCACAATTCATAAATTATCTCCTGGATATGATTGTGAAGCTAGCTTTCTACTACTGAGCTACTTTCTCTTTTTCCAGTATTGATATATGTGACCCTGGACCACAAAAGCAGTCATAAGTAGCATGGCTATATTTGTAGCAATAGCCAACAATACATTGTATTGGTCAAAATGATCTATTTTTCTTTTATGACAAAAATCTTTAGGATATTAATAAAGATCATATTCCATGAAGATACTTTGTAAATTTCCTACCGTAAATGTATCAAAACTTAATTTTTGATTAGTAATAATATGCAATGCTAAGGACTTCATTTGGACAACTTTAAAGGCAATTTTCTCAATATTTAGATTTTTTTGCACCCTCAGATTCCAGATTTTCAAATAGTTGTATCTCTGCAAAATATTGTCCTATCCTAACAAACCATACATCAATGGAAAGCTTATTAATTCAGCTAAAATAAATAAAGCAGACATTAAGCAGACAGTCTGCTAATACTCTAATGACTGGTAGTTGAAATGAAGTTGCAAAGTTACTTATAGTTAGTAGGATGTCTAAAGTGTCGAAATAAAATGTTATCAAATATTGTAATAGACCAGAAATCAGAGCATATTCTTCCCTACTAGATTCTGTTCTGACTCTTTGATCTTTTGTTCTCTTTTTCTTTTCATAGGATTTCGTGTTCTTTGAAAAAGTGGGAGAGACAAACCAGCGCAATACTGTATTCTCTTAGAGCTCTTGATAAGTTACTTTTTAAGTAACATTTCTCATTATCTTTCAAGTCTTTTTTTAAACTGATGAAATTCTCACATTTTGTGGACGACGTCTGAGTCTGGACTTCTTTTATTTCCTGCATTTTCTTGGGTAACCAAAGCTATAGACAGCTGGCACTGCAGTGAAACCAAGGGACACGTTCAAGGTCATTTTGTAGGGTTCACGTGGCCAGCAATATTGACAATGACAGGCGAGGTATCATGAGTAACTGTTCACTGGTGCCTTTTAAACAATCAGAGCCTATAATTATAAATTACTGTTACAATAGTATATCAACTAACATTTATATCTTTTTGTTACTTTAAATTTTTCTTTTTTATTGGAAATAAAATGTAACATGCATCCCTACGCATGTATTTCCAGACTTATTTCATGCATAAATATATTTTTTCAGTCTTTCTGAAGGAAATTCAGTTTTATTGTGCTAAATGCAAAGCATTTTAGTTAAAACATACGGATGTTCCTACAGCCAAGTAATGCATGATGATGGGGGTTACATGCAAGTTAATGACTCTGGCAACAGCTGAAAAAAGGAAAAAACAAGCAAGTAGTTGCATGGTTTTCTGTGTGTATAGACCAGTGACTTACTATGGGTAGAATGCCAGTTGTTACTAATAGCTTTTTTTGGTGTGTGTCTGAAGAATGAGTGCACTACAGGGGGGCGCTTGTCAGTTTATAAAAGCCAGCCTCTCCATGAGTCCATCTTAATGCTTAGGATGGTGTTAAATATTAATTATTTGCCAATTAAACCCGTGAGTAGCATGGAAATTCAGGAAACATAGTCCTATGAATAGTCTGTCATTATTTAACACATGAAAACATTTTATTTGGTTGGTTATATAGAGACTGGCCTTGTATCAATAAGAGCGTATACTGAATGTATAACATTATTAAAATATACAGACCGAGGGGTGTTGAAATTTTTTTTGTTGTTGTTTAATGTCTGTGTTTTGGTCACTATGTATTTCAAACTTTGATATAAATGTCCTGCATTTATACGCTGGAAAAGATATAGTTATAAAGTTAAAATATATAGCTAGGGAACAACTTTATATCACTAACAGGGTGAATTGTAACAATAATAGAACACATGGACATCAATTTAAATTTTGTACACATTCATTTTGTTAATCAAATTTAACATCCCAGTAGCTAATTACTAATTTGTTGAACTTGTAATGTTACAATGCTCTCTGGTCTCACCATGTAATCAATAAAAATGTGTCTTCTTGTGTATGTGTTCGTATTTATTTCTATAATATACAATATTATTATAACATTATACATAATAAATGTATAATATTATGTTGGTGGTTTGTGTGATTATGTTACTGCATCTAGGAAAAGATTTAAAAACATACTGTACACATATTGTTGCAAAACCCCTAACATGTAGCCAAATAAAAGACTTCAGATGTAGGCTTAAGCTAAAATAACCATCATTTGTAATTTTACAACGGCTAACCTAAAGAACAATAGTCTCTGTCACACTTTTTATGCAAACTCATAAACAAAATCACTCCTTATGGCTTGCCTTAACACACGTGCACAACGATTAGTGTTCACACAGTTCAACAACCCCTTTTTATAGCTATGTTTCATGTTTATTTGAACATGATTCACATTAAATTATGCTTGGAAATTCAGCAATAGCTAACAGAGTGATGTCAACAAGATGCACTTGTTTCTGTACAACCTGTTTGCCAACATTACAACTGCTTTACCGGGTTCATATTTCGCAGAATTATCACAAATAAAGGAGCAATTAGAAAAATCATTAAGCCATTTTTTTGGGTATCCAATTTGACCAAAATAAGATTAGATCAGATCAAGATTTTACAGCAACTCTTTATATAACCTTACATAATAAATTACAAAAATAGTGACAGAATGCAATGACAGACAGATACATTTTGTGGTGCTTTGTAGGTATTTTGTTAAAATCTCTTGGGTCACATTTTATCTGCTAGGTAGTGTAAGGCAAAAGGAGTTTTAAAAAAGTGGTACACCTTTGTCGGGTCGTTAGTTTAAATACATAAGAAAAGGGGAGGAGATACTATCAAAACAGAAACTGCAAATACATATTAGAGAGAACACCACAAACACAGGTATCTGCAATCCGCAGAAAATCTCAAAATATCCTTAATCCGAACAATCATTCTAACACCAAGTTCTCTACAGAGCATTTCATTTGTGGAGCATCCCAAGAGGTAAGATTTCGTTCAGAGTTTAGATAGGTAAGTGATCATTTACCTTTGGGTCTTTGTAGTTGTTGGATCATGCTTCTATTTCTGACTTCATTTGGACACACATTTTTGTGTGCAACTTTAATAAACTTCATTAATTCATCATATATTTTTCCTCTGTCACCATAGTTGCTGTACTGCTCTAACAAAGGTCTTCAACATGTCAGAACCAGGTACTGAAGTTTTATTAGTTTAAATATAATAGTAATAATTTAAATGATCTTTATTTATTCTGTTAAAAGTCAGTTTTACTCTTTTTCTAGGTGATACATACCCTACTATTAGGTGATTTATCTTGTATACCGATTTGCTTTATTTGAATGCCCAAGATCATTTTGTCAATGAAAAAATTTAGATCAAGAATATGGAGGAATGGAATGCACAATGACATGTTTGACCACATTCTGTAGAATGTTTCCAACATGTTATGAGTATGTTTTCTTGGTCTGTCGCCTGTCTGTGTCTTAAGGTTTCTTTTTTTCTTGTTTACTTTGCTATATAAATGCGTCACTGAATAGGTATATATCACCTTTTAACCAACAAGTTCCACATTGAACAAAAAGGCATGGATCCTAAAAGTAGGCCATATGGCAGCTTTGTTGGATGAACAGACCAAATTTAGGTGGTTTTTCACTGAAAATCTTACCACCCATTTTGGCTTCTCTTTCACATTCTACACAGTACAATCTACAATTGTAAAGTGTAGATTGTAAAGATGGATGTCTGTGATCTGAAAGCCAGAGATGTCTGGTCATTCAATGATTCAGACCACAAGAAAATCGAAACCAGAGTGACACAGTTTTATCGAAAATTGTCTGAAACTAGACTGTTCACCAAAACCATCTGAAAACCAACATCCAAATCTCATGCCTCAACCAGAAGGTCCTGCGCCAGCTCCTCCAGCCACAGAACTTCAGTTAGAGAATCAACCACCTCCAGTTTCGCTTGCCTTGAATCAGTCTGATCCTGATCCAGTCTTTCTCTTTATTAAATTGTCTTAAACTAGGTTGTCCAGCCCAAAATGACCTTCCAAATCCCATGCCTCAGTCAGAAGGTCCTGCACAGGCTACTCCAGCCCCAGGACTCCAGACAGATGATCAATCGCCTCCAGTTCAGCCACCTTTGTATCAGTCTGAACAGATTTATGAAGTTGTTCTCGAGGATCATGGAGAACACACATACATGTGTATGTATATCTGAGTGTTTCTAAAGTCTAATACATGTATATTGCTACGTGCTAGCCTTTTTTTAGTCTAGGGGTAATGGCATAGCAGTAACAAATTTTGGAGAGAGAAAGCACAGGAACTTCTTGTCTCCAGCCCCAGTAACACACATCCAGAACAAATGAGCTTAAGTATTTATTGAATCAAAAGAAAAAGATGAAGGGAAAAACATAAGCTTCAGGAGGGGGCAAAGGCCAACACAACAAACAGTTTCTAACTCAGTTTTAACCATAACTTACCTATACATAAAAATGAAAATAAATAACAGAAGAACTTGCCTGTCTCCCTGACTACACAGAACCAGGAGAAAATCAATTAAAAAATTTTTTTTTAAAAGGCACCCACCTCCCTACAGGTTTCCTTAAAAGAAAATCTTAAATTCTGCACAAAAATATATAGGTCTTCAACTACATTCCCAATGGCATCAATGGTTAGCACTTGTCAATAACAGAAAACAGTGGAGTTATCTGGAGCAAGAGAAAAGAAGTCTATGTAGCAAGTTACAGTCTGCAACCCTCTCCCTCTCAGCTTGTTCTTCTTCTTGTTAGTTTTATGGCGGATTGCAACCATGACTTATCAGGTACATACCGCCACCTACTCGCTGAGGTGAATGGGCTGCAAATCAGCAACAGGTGAACCCAATCACCTACATGAGAATGGTAGCAGTAGACATGGGGTGAAAAAGAAAGAAAAAAAAGCCCTACAAAGCACATAGAACAAATCACAAATAAAATACATCTCAGGACGTAACACCCCCACCATCATTACATTTTACAACCCACGGATTGTAAGTGCCTGTTTACACCTGGTCACTTCATGCGTTTTTTCTGATCGAATAGCTATCCGATCGTGAAAAGACCAGGTGTAAATGCCCTTCGAAACGCATTCGAGACGGATATAAATCCGATCGCTCAAACCACTTCAGGAGGTGGTCTGGGCCGCATTCCAGACGAAACTGGACAAGTGTAAATGCATCTGGTTGTTGAAACCACATATGTAAATTTTACTCCACCCAAAATGTTAAAATAATAAACGTGTGAGAGCGTGTTATAGACTATGACATTAGTCAGACTGCGCTAATGCAACAAGCATCGCTGCGGACGAGTAGCGGATCTCTTCAGCAAGCCGACGCGCAAACTGCCGCGAATGAAACTGAAAGTAAGACGCAGAAGCTCAACACACAATTATCTTCATTAAAAGTAGTAAGACAAACTTATCTTTCCAGTGCTGATGCCGCGCGCTCTCCTATTGCGGTCTTTGATCTTGAAATGAACTAATAATTAATTAAATGCAGCGCTTATCTTTTTATTTCGT